CGTATGTCCTACAAGATGTATTTGTCTTTCATATGTTTTCAGCCAAGATTCCTTTAAGTACCAGTCTGAGCAGAAATTGGACTTCTTGATGTTTCTCTCTCGATAGTTGCAATTGCATGTATACATGGTAATTCATCAAATTGAAACAGAAAACAATCACACATTCTTTTGTTTAAGTCCACAAATAAAGTATTTCCTTCTTCCTCAACTCTAGAACGCCATGAATCAACAGGGAAGACCTTCAAAGTTGAAAAACTATAAATTAGTACATTATGTTAAATTATCATTAAAATAATAAGCTAAAGTAAGAACACAATGCTTAAATTTATAGTAAAAGCTAAATCTATCTTTTTTTTCAATTCCTCTTCTACCTAACATGAAACATCATAAAAAGTTCCTTCCGCTTCATTTCTTCTTTTATAAAACCAACGTTGCAGCTTCACTTGGATGAAATCCATCATTCTCAATATAGGAAGCTTCATTGCTTCTAATAGCATAGAATTCATTGACTCAACTATGTTTGTTGTGAGCATGTCATATCTTCGTCGTGGACAACAAGAACGCGCCCACCTTTCTGGTGGTTCTTCCATCAAGTAGTCAAAAGTCTTCTTATTAACTTTTGCTATCTCTGACATGTATAGATCAAATCCTTTGCGCCTGTATACTCATGCAGCACTTTGAAAAAGTTTTATGACCTCACTTTTCACTTTCCTTCGCTTTAGGTTCTGCTCCAAATGATAGATACAAATCCCATGGTAGCTTTCAGGATATACCTTTGCGATGCCATGTGCAATAAATTGATGCCTATCTGATAAAAAAATTAAATTGTCACGGCTCCCAATTGCATTGTGAAGCTCACTAAAGTAGCACTCATACGAGTTGTTATTTTCATATTCTGCAATCCCAAAGGCTAGTGGGAATATTTGGTTATTTGCATCCTTTAAAACTGAAATCATTAAAACACCATGATAATTTGAGTTCAAAAAAGTTGCATCAACAGCAATCACCGGTCTACAATGATTCCAACCAGCTATTGATGATCCATATGCATAAAACATATAAAGAAACCAGAAAATACAGTTTAACAACAAAAGGTGAAAATACAGGACACCGTGTCCTTAACATTTACACTGCACACATCAAAGTTAAGGACACCATGTCCTTAACATTTACAATGCACACACCATGTTCTTAACATTTACACTGCACACATCAAAGTTAAGGACACTATGTCCTTAACATTTATAATGCACACATCAAAGTTAAGGATATCATTTCCTTAATATTTACACTGCACACAACGAAGTTAAGGAAACCATGTCCAAAATATTTACAGTACAAACATCAAAGTTAAGGACACCATGTCCTAAATATTTACAGTACAAACATCAAAGTTAAGGACACCATGTCCTAAATATTTACAGTACAAACATCAAAGTTAAGGACACCATGTCCTAAATATTTACAGTACAAACATCAAAGTTAAGGACACCATGTCCTAAATATTTACAGTACAAACATCAAAGTTAAGGACACCATGTCCTAAATATTTACAGTACAAACATCAAAGTTAAGGACACCATGTCCTAAATATTTACAGTACAAACATCAAAGTTAAGGACACCATGTCCTAAATATTTACAGTACAAACATCAAAGTTAAGGACACCATGTCCTAAATATTTACAGTACAAACATCAAAGTTAAGGACACCATGTCCTAAATATTTACAGTACAAACATCAAAGTTAAGGACACCATGTCCTAAATATTTACAGTACAAACATCAAAGTTAAGGACACCATGTCCTAAATATTTACAGTACAAACATCAAAGTTAAGGACACCATGTCCTAAATATTTACAGTACAAACATCAAAGTTAAGGACACCATGTCCTAAATATTTACAGTACAAACATCAAAGTTAAGGACACCATGTCCTTAACATTTACACTGCACATATCAAAGTTAAGTTAAGGACACCATGTATTTAATATTTATACTGCACACATCAAAGTTAAGGACACCATGTCCTTAACATTTACACTGCATACAACAAAGTTAAGGACACCATGTCCTAAAGTTTAAAATAGACTAATAAACTCTTTTTGTTTACNTCCTTAATATTTACACTGCACACAACAAAGTTAAGGAAACCATGTCCAAAATATTTACAGTACAAACATCAAAGTTAAGGACACCATGTCCTTAACATTTACACATGCACATATCAAAGTTAAGGACACCATGTCCTTAACATTTACATTGCACACATCAAAGTTAAGGACACCATGTCCTAAATATTTACAGTACAAACATCAAAGTTAAGGACACCATGTCCTTAACATTTACAATGTACACATAAAGGTTAAGGACACCATGTCCTTAACATTTACACTGCACATATCAAAGTTAAGTTAAGGACACCATGTATTTAATATTTATACTGCACACATCAAAGTTAAGGACACCATGTCCTTAACATTTACACTGCATACAACAAAGTTAAGGACACCATGTCCTAAAGTTTAAAATAGACTAATAAACTCTTTTTGTTTACCTGTTGTTGTCGTCTATCTTTATGTTAGTGTATGTCCCCGGGTTTTACTTTTCATCATGTACAAGTAAGAAGACAACAATTCATAATTCTCTTTAGGAATTCCTCTTATTAAAGCTGAAGCACGTTGAATAGCACGCCACGCCTTGTGATACCCAATGTCTAGTCCATGCAATTTTTGCATTTCTGCCATGACAAAGGCTGGTGTAACTTCAAACCTTGGGTCTCAAAGATTGTCAATAATGTAACAACTAATCAACTTTGAAGTTGTATGCCTTTGATCAGCTTTCATAGTGTTAACTGAGCAGTCATGATTTTTCTCAATCTTTACTATCTTAAATAGTGTTGAATCTTTAACTCTGAAAGCACGCACACACCACCCACAATTTTTATCATTGCATTTCAAAGAATATCTTGTTGAGCTTGATCTAACAAACTTGAATTCAAAATTTCATTTAATTGCTATAATCAAAAAACAGTTAATTATACTCTTCTTTTTGTCAAATATTGAGCCCACTTTTATTTCATCTAACGAAGCATTTTCTCTTAATATTGTAGTTGGGGATTCTTTTTGTTTCGACTTTGACCTTCGTCTAGTTAGTTGAGTAGAGGATTTTTCATCAACTTCTTCTATTACTGGTGCACTCTCTAAGACTTGAATACCCAAAGATTGTTGGTTGTCAATCTCTATAATGTTATGTCCTTCTACTTGAATAGAATTAAATGTTTGAAGCACCTCTTTAATTATTGGTTCAGGTTCAACCACATCTATTTCCATTATCTATTGGCATTTGTCTTGATTGTCTTGTTGAGTTTCTATATTGACATGTTCAAAGGTGCTTGTAGAGCCAAAAACTCTTTCTGAAATATCAACAATGAAACGACAGCCCTTGAAGAGTGAATGACATTTTAGTAACTCTATACATATGTGAAGATCTAAATCTTTGGATATAAGCATTCCCTTGCTTCTTCCCAGGTTGATATCAAACCATATCATTGCTTCAAATTTGTCTCTATCTAATTCAATAACTTCAAAGACCTGGTTGACGAAATCTTTAAATCGAAGTGCCTCAGGTACTAGAACAAGCTTTGTTTGATGATCCAGATACTTATAGTCCGCGGTCTATCTTCCATTAAAAGCAACTATAATACATATTGTATCCATTCTGCAAGTCAAGAAAATGGGAAATTCAAGACACTATGTCTTTAATATTTACACAATAGTCATAAAGTTAAGGAAACAATGACCTAAACTTTATCAATACAAGTTGCAAATACATGACACTTTGTCCTTAATATTTATACAACAATCATGAAATTAAGGACACGATGTCCTAAACTTGATTAATACAAGTTGCAAATATAGGACACTTTGTCCTCAATATTCACACAACAGTCATGAAGTTTAAGGACACAATGTCCAAAACTTTATCAATATAAGTTGCAAATACAGGACACTATGTCCTTAATATTTACACAGTAGTCATAAAATAAGGACATTTATCAATATGAATAAATGTCCTGATTTGTTAAAGGATGAAAATAATATTCAGGAAATATTTTTCTGAAATGTCATGAACTTCTGGAAATCTAGACATTAAACTGAGATTTTCAGAAGTTAAGGACATTTTAGAAATTTATGTTCTTAATATTAGATTCATACTTCAAACTTTCAGGACGTTTTAAAAAATTATATCCTGAAGTTTACGTGTATCAATCTCATTTTAAAAATAAGATGTAGCAAGTTGCAGGCATCAAGTTTTATAAAGAAATAAAGAGCACATAAGCACAAAGAAACTTTGAAAATTCAGGACATTTTTTATATAACCATCTGCTAAAGTTTACTTGCTCAAATAAAAACAATCTAAATGAATCCAATTTATATAAAAAAACTTAAAAGACTAGATAAACATAAGTGGATATATCTATAATTCTCTATGCTTCCTTGAAAATGGGTGGACTGCGGGAGAATATATACAAGATATTATATTATAACCAATTCTTCTCCAACTACCACATTTGAATATTATTTTTGATGATTCGGTAGCTGGAATATGTCTTTTCTTCTGCCCTCTACCTGGCAGGACCTTGAAATCTGGAGGTTTAATAATTTGTGATTTAACACTCTTTGGTACAATCCAAGAATCCGTATGTCCTACAGGATGTATTTGTCTTTCATATGTTTTCAGTCAAGATTCCTTTAAGTACCAGTCTGAGCAGAAATTAGACTTCATGATATTTCTCTCTCGATAGCTGCAATTGCATGTATACATGGTAATTCATCAAATTGAAACTGAAAACAATCACATGTTCTTTTGTTTAAGTCCACCAAGAAAGTATTTCCTTCTTCCTCAACTCTAGAACGCCATGAATCAACAGGGAAGACCTTCAAAGTTGAAAACTATAAATTAGTATATTATGTTAAATTATCATTAAAATAATAAGCTAAAGTAAGAACACAATGCTTAAATTTATAGTAAAAGCTAAATCTATCTTTTTCTTCAATTCCTCTTCTACCCAACATGAAATATCATAAAAAGTTCCTTCTGCTTCATTTATTCTTTTATAAAACCAACGTTGCAGCTTCACTTGGATGAAATCCATCATTCTCAATATAGGAAGCTTCATTGCTTCTAATAGCATAGAATTCATTGACTCAACTATGTTTGTTGTGAGCATGTCATATCTTCGTCGTGGACAACAAGAACGCGCCCACCTTTCTGGTGGTTCTTCCATCAAGTAGTCAAAAATCTTCTTATCAACTTTTGCTATCTCTGACATGTATAGATCAAATCCTTTGCGCCTGTATACTCTTGCAGCACTTTGAAAAAGTTTTATGACCTCACTTTTCACTTTCCTTCGCTTTAGGTTCTGCTCCAAATGATAGATACAAATCCCATGGTGGCTTTCAGGATATACCTTTGCGATGCCATGTGCAATAGATTGATGCCTATCTGATAAAAAAAATTAAATTGTCACGGCTCCCAATTGCATTATGAAGCTCACTAAAGTAGCACTCATACGAGTTGTTATTTTCAGATTCTGCAATCCCAAAGGCTAGTGGGAATATTTGGTTATTTGCATCCTTTGAAACTGAAATCATTAAAACACCATGATAATTTGATTTCAAAAAAGTTGCATCAACAGCAATCACCGGTCTACAATGATTCCAACCAGCTATTGATGATCCATATGCATAAAACATATAAAGAAACCTGAAAATACAGTTTAACAACAAAAGGTGAAAATACAGGACACCGTGTTCTTAACATTTATACTGCACACATCAAAGTTAAGGACACCATGTCCTTAACATTTACAATGCACACATCAAAGTTAAGGACACATTGTCCTTAACATTTACACTGCACACATCAAAGTTAAGGATAATATGTCCTTAACATTTACAATGCACACATCAAAGTTAAGGACACCATGTCCTTAATATTTACACTACACACATCAAAGTTAAGGACACTATGTCCTTAACATTTACACTGCACACAACAAAGTTAAGGACACCATGTCCTTAATATTTACACTGCATACATCAAAGTTAAGGACACCATGTCCTTAGCATTTACAATGCACACATCAAAGTTAAGGACACCATGTCCTTAATATTTACACTGCACACATCAAAGTTAAGTTAAGTATACCATGTCCTTAACATTTACACTGCACACAACAAAGTTAAGGACACCATGTCCTTAACATTTACAATGCACACTTCAAAGTTGAGGATACCATTTTCTTAACATTTACACTGAACACATCAGAGTTAAGTTAAGGACACCATGTCCTTAACATTTACACTACACATCAAAGTTAAAGACACCGTGTCCTAAATATTTACAGTGCAAGCATCAAAGTTAAGGACACAATGTCTTTAACATTTACACTGCACACATCAAAGTTAAGGATTCCATGTCCTTAACATTTACACTGCACACATCAAAGTTAAGGACACCATGTCCTTAGCATTTACAATGCACACATCAAAGTTAAGGACACCATGTCCTTAATATTTACACTGCACACATCAAAGTTAAGTTAAGTACACCATGTCCTTAACATTTACACTGCACACAACAAAGTTAAGGACACCATGTCCAAAATATTTACAGTGCAAACATCAAAGTTAAGGACACCATGTCCTTAACATTTACGCATGCATACATTAAAGTAAAGGACACCATGACCTTAATATTTACACTGCACTCATTAAAGTTAAGCACACCATATCTTTAACATTTATACTGCACACATCAAAGTTAAGGACACCATGTCCTTAACTTGAATTCAAAATGTCCTTTAATTGCTATATTCGAAAAACAATTCAAAATGTCCTTTAACTTGATCCCACTTTTATTTCATCTAACGAAGCATTTTCTCTTAATATTGTAGTTGGGGATTCTTTTTGTTTCGATTTTGACCTTCGTATAGTTAGTTGAGTAGAGGATTTTTCATCAACTTCTTCTATTACTGGTGCAGTCTCTAAGACTTGAATACCCAAAGCTTGTTGGTTGTCAATCTCTATATTGTTTTGTCCTTCCACTTGAATAGAATTAAGTGTTTGAAGCACCTCTTCAATTATTGGTTCAGGTTCAACCACATCTATTTCCATTATCTGTTGGCATTTGTCTTGATTGTCTTGTTGAGTTTCTATATTGACATGTTCAAAGGTACTTGTAGAGCCAACAACTCTTTCGGAAATATCAACAATGAAACGACATCCCTTGAAGAGTGAATGACTTTTTAGTAACTCTATACATATGTGAAGATCTAAATATTTGGATACAAGCATTCCCTTGCTTGTTCCCAAGTTGATATCAAACCATATCATTGCTTCAAATTTGTCTCTATCCAATTCAATAACTTCAAAGACCTGGTTGACGAAATCTTCAAATCGTGAGACCTAGGCATCCTAGTGCTCTGATACCAACTTGTCACGACCCGAAATTTCTACTGTCGGGACCGTGATGGCGCCTAACATTTCACTTGCTAGGCAAGCCAACGCTAGAGAATCATTAAACCAAATCCTTATTTTCATTCAGTAAATAACAATAATTAGCTAAGATGAAATATAATAAGTGCGGAATAATATAAAAACTGTATTAATTACTACCACCCCGATCATGAGTCAAAATTCACGAGCATTCTAGAATTTACTACAAGTAATAGTCTGAAAGAAATACAACTGTTTGAATAAAAGAAACAGTAAAACAGAAGGATAGACGGGGACTTCAAGGTCTGTGAACGTACAAGAATAGTGAATACAGTAAAGGAAAAATGCACGGTATCACCCTTTGTGCTTTTACTCTCAACCTCACCATAAAATTAATAGAAACGGCACGGCATCACCCTTCGTGCTTTTACTCTCATATCATGGCACGGCATCACCCTTCGTGCATCAACACTCACAATATGGCACAGCATCACCTTTCGTGCATTAACACTCAGAATATGGCACGGCACCACCCTTCGTGCATTAACACTCACAATATGGCATGGCATTACCCTTCGCGCATTAACACTCTCCCTTACCATAATGCAATGAACAATTAACAACAGAGAGATAGAACAACACGTACAAACCTTACTTTAACATTGGGTTCCATAATATAAATCTCAACTTTGAAATAAATACTCAATTATCACCAGAAAATCCGTAAACATGATAAGAACGATCAATTTAACAACACTAGTCTAAACACGGAACAATTAGGCATAGGAAAGAGACAATATAAGAAAAACGGGAGAAAACAGGGAAACCAGGTAAATTGGCGGCGCATAAGTACTCGTCACCTCACATATACGGCGCTCACATACATTTCACATAGCAAATAATCTGAGGTTCCTAATTCCCTCAAGTCAGGGTTAGACACAACACTTACCTTGCTCTGAAGGCCACTTAATTCTCAATCACAGCTTTTCCTCTAGAATTCACCTCCAAACCACTCGTATCTATTCAAAAATGACTCAATGATATCAAATATTGCTAAAGGAATCAATTATATTGCATAAATTAAATTTCCCAAATTTTCCTCCAAAAAGTCAAAAATGGACCACGGGCCCGCTTGGTAAAAACCTGAGGTTCGGACCAAAATCCATTTACCTATTCACCCCCGAGCCCGGATATATAATTGGTTTTGGAATCCGACCTCAACTTGAGGTCTAAATCCCCAAATTTTCGAAATATCTAGTTTCTACCCAAACCCCTAATTCTACCATGAAAACTCTAGATTTTAGGTTGATAATTCACAAAATGTAATGGGTAATTGAAAGAAAATGGTTTAGAATCACTTACCAACACTTTGGGAAAGAAAATAACTCGTGAAAATTGCCTCTAGCCCGTTTGTTTTTATGAAAGTTGGACAATGGCTTATTCCCGTTCTTGATTCTCTTTTATGCACTGGGCGACAGCATTCATCGCTTCGCGAGGCCACTGTCGCGTTCGCGAAGAGTATCGGCTGCCAAACCTTCGCGTTCGTGAGACCTTGCTCGCGTTCAGAATGAAGGATCACTGACTCTCCCCCCGGTATGCCTAACACTACGCGTTCGCGGGGAGCTGGTTGCGTTCGCGAAGGGTAACGCCCCTATCGCTTCGCGTTCGCGACCAAGCCTTCGCGTTTGCGAAGAAGAAAAATCCAGCTGGCCAGTTTACTCTTCGCGTTTGCGAGAGTACCTTCGCGAACGTGAAGAAGGACATGCCAGAACACCTACTGCAGCAAAATACCATATTTTTCCAAAGTCCAAACATCCCGTAGCCTATCCGAAACTCACCCGAGCCCTCGGGACTCCAAACCAAACATGCACACAAGTCTAAAAATATCATATAAACTTGCTCGCGCGATCAAATCACCAAAATAACATCTATAACTATGAATTTAGCACCAAATCAAATATAATTCTCAAGAACACTTTAAAATTTCTATTCTCTCAACTGGATGTCCGAATTACGTCAAACCAACTCCGTTTATCACCAAATTTCACAGATAAGTCTTAAATATTATAATGAACCTGTACCGGGATCCGGAACCAAAATACGAACTTGGTACTAACAATGCCAAACATCAATCAATTCTTAAAAACTATTAAATTTCATACTTTTCATTTTCATCAAAAATTCATAACTCGAGCTAGGGACCTCCGAATTCGATTCCAGGCATACGCCCAGGTCCCATATTTCGATACGGACCCATCGGGACCGTCAAAATATAGATCCGGGCTTGTTTACCAAAAATGTTGAGCGAAGTCAACTAAAATTAACTTTTAAGGCATAAATTCTTATTTTCATCAATTTTCAACATAAAAATTTTTCGGAAAAATGCACGGACTGTGCACGCAAATCGAGGAGAGTAAAAATGAGATTTTAAGGCTTTAGAGCGCAGAATCGAGTTCTAAAATATAAGATGACCTTTTGGGTCATCACATTCTCCACCTTTAAAAGAACCGTTCGTCCTCGAACGAACATAGAAAAGTACCTGAGCTGGTGAAAATGTGGGGATATCTACTCCGCATGTCGGATTCGGACTCCCAAGTAGCTGCCTCAACAGGCTGACCTCTCCACTACACTCAAACTGAAGGGTAACTCTTTGATCTCAACTGGCGAATTTGCCGGGCTAGAATAGCTACCGGCTCTTCCTCATAAGTCAAATCCTTGTCCAACTGGACAGAGCTGAAATCTAACACATGGGACAGATCGCTGTGAAACTTTTAAAGCATGGACACATGGAATATCGGATGAACAGCTGCTAAACTAGGTGGCAACGCAAGCTTGTAAGCCACCTCTCCTACCCTCTCTAAAATCCCAAAAGGTTCGATATACCTAGGATTCAACTTGCCCTTCTTTCCGAACCTCATCACACCCTTCATGGGTGATACCCGAAGCGGCACTCTCTCCCCGACAATAAATGCGACATCACGAACTCTTCGGTCGGCATAACTCTTCTGCCTGGACTGAGCTGTGCGAAGTCGATCCTGAATAATCTTGACCTTATCCAAGGCATCCTGTACTAAGTCTGTGCCCAACAACCGAGCCTCCCCCGGCCCAAACCAACCAATTGGCGACCGGCACGCCTACCATATAATGCCTCATAGGGAGCTATGTGAATGCTCGACTGGTAGCTGTTGTTGTAGGCGAATGATGTTTGGCATATTTCGATATGTGTTGATGTTACTTTACCCATGTTTTAACCACTTCTTGATGTTATTTGATCTTTAAAATTCCCAACATGGTTTAATTATTGGTTTTATGACTAATTAAATTATGTGTGACGATTTAAGGTGTTTGGAGTGCAAAATATGAAGAAAAGGTGGTCTAGCCAAAGGAAGAAGGGTTGGATGCGTCGCATCCAACCTAGAAAAACATCATCTTTCGTGCACCCTTAGCNATCGAAGCTCTGGTTTCCGATGATTATGATGACGACGATGGGAGTAAAAGCGGATCCGAAATGGGGGGAATCTGATAAAGAAAAGACCGCTCCCGTTTTAAATTTTTTTTTTTTTTTTTTTGCTGTAGCCACCCATATAAATAAATTTTGTGTATAAGCCTCTTCTTTTGCCAACTTGCTTTTGATTCTGTTTCCTGGGTTGCTGTGATTTGCCTCATGAATATTTCCATAATGTTTTAAACCAATTAATCAAACTCGAACCTCGCAGTCTCTTCAACCGAGCGAGTGTCTACTTGTGCTCGATTTAATCGTCAACGATTCGATTTTGAAGAGAATATAGCCCGCGGGCGTGGTAGTCGAGCGAGTGTTTGCTTGTGCTCAAATTAATGTAGACCGTAGGCTTGGTCGAGTGAATGATTCGAACTCGAATTAATGCATCCCGTAGGCTATTTGGTCGAGTGAGTTTTTGCTCGAACTCGAGATAAAAAATAGCTCGTAGGCTTGATCGAGTGAATGATTCGAACTCGAATTAATGCAACCCGTAGGCTATTTGATCGAGTGAGTGTTTGCTCGAACTCGAATTAAAGAATAGCCCGTAGGCTTGATCGAGTGAATGATTCGAACTCGAATTAATGCAACCCGTAGGCTATTTGATCGAGTGAGTGTTTGCTCGAACTCGAATTAAAGAATAGCCCATAGGCTTGATCGAGTAAATGATTCGAACTCGAATTAATGCAGCCCGTAGGCTATTTGGTCGAGTGAGTTTTTGCTCGAA